TTTGCAGCCCCACCAGTAGTGAATGAGAATTCTTCTTTCTCCACATCCTCTCCAGCATTTGGTAACATTTAATCTCTTGATGTTAGCCAGTCTGACTGGGGTAAGGTGAAATTTAAGGTGGTTTTAATTTGCATTTTCCTAATTACTAATGATGTTGAAGACTTTTTACGATGTTTCTTAGCCGTCTTTATTTTTTCTTTTGAGAACTCTCTGTTTAGCTCTTTAACCCATTTTTTAATTGGGTCATTTGTTTTCTTGATTCTTTGCTTTTTGAGTTCTTTATATATTCTGGATGTTAAACCTCTGTCAGATGTGTCACTGGTGAAGATTTTCTCCCACTCTGTGGGGTTTCCCTTCATTCTCTTGGTTGTTTCTTTTGCTGTACAGAAGATTTTTAGTTTAATTAGATCCCACTTGTTGATTGTTGACCTTAATTCCTGAGCAACTGGTGTCTGATTTAGAAAGTACTTTCCTACACCTGTATCTTATAGGTTACTGCCAATGTTTTCTTCTAATAGTTTCAGAGTTTGGAGTTTCACATTGAGGTCTTTGATCCATTATGAGATGACTTTTGTGCAAGGTGAAAAAGATAAGGATCTAGTTTCATTCTTCTACAGGTGGAGATCCCGTTTTGCCAGCACCATTTGTTGAAGAGGCTGTCTTTCCTCCACTGTGTGTTCTTGGCACCTTTGTCAAATATCAGGTGGCTGAAATTGCATGTACTCATGTTTCAGTCTTTAATTATGTTTCATTGATCTATGTGTCTATTTTTGTGCCAGTACCATGCTGTTTTTATGACTATAGCTCTGTAGTATAGTTTAAGCTCTGATATAGTAGTCCCTCAGTGTTGGTCTTTGTGCCCAGGGTTGCTTTGGCTTTCTGGGATCTTTTGTGCTTCCATATGAATTTTAGGATTTTTTTTCTAATTCTGTGAAGTATGCCATGGGGATTTTGATTGGGATTGCATTGAACCTATACATGGCTTATTCATGGTCATTCATAGTAGGGTGGTCATTTTCACAATATTAATCTTCCAACCCATGAACATGGTAGGTCCTTCCATCTTCTGGTGTCTTCCTCAATCTAATTCTATAAAGATTTAATATTTTTATTGTAGAAATCTTTGATGTTTTTGATCAGGTTTATTCTGAGATTTTTTTTGAGGCTATTGTGAATGGGAGTGTTTCCATGTACTCGTTCTACAATTGTTTGTTGTTGGTATATAGAAAGACCACTGGTTTTTGTAGGTTAATTTCATAACCTGCCACTTTACTGAAAGGGTCAATTAGTTCTAGGAGTTTTCTGATGGAATTTTAGGGATCTCTTAGGTCATCTTAATATATCATCTGACCTCTTCCTTTCCAATTTGTACTCCTTTAATTTCCTTTTCCTGTTTTATTGTTCTAGCAAGAGTTTCAAGCACTGTGTTAAAAAGGAGTGAGGAAGTGAACATCCTTGTCTGGTTCCCAATTTTAATGGGAATGCTTCTAGATTTTCTCTATTTAGAATGATGTTGGCTGTGGGTTTGTTGTATATAGCTTTAAGTATGTTGAAGTATGTTCCCTCTAGTCCAATTCCCTCTAGGACTTTTATCATGAATGCATGCTGAATTTTTTTCAATTTTGTTATGGGCCTTTTTTGCATCTATTGAGATGACGATGTGGTTTTTGTCTTTGAGTTCATTTATATGATTTATGACATTTATTGACTTGTGTATATTGAACTGTCCCTGCATCTCTGGAATACTGTCTACTTGATCATGCTGGATGATCTTTTCGATGTGTGTCTGTATGTGATTTGCAAGTATTTTTTTGAGAATTTTTGCATCCATACTAAGGATACGGGTCTATAGTTTTCTTTTTTGGTTGTGTCTTTATATGGTTTTGGTATTAGAGTGATGCTGGTTTCGCAGAAGGAATTTGGGAGTTTTCCCTCTGTTTCCAGCTTTTTGAATAATTTAAGTAGTATTGGTTGCAGATCTTCTTAAAATGTCTGATAGAATTCTGATATAAATCCATCTGGGCCTGGGATTTTTTTAGTTGGGAGGTTTTGTATTACTGTTACAATTTCTTTATATGTTATGGGTCTGATTAAACTGTCGAGGTTTTCTTGGTTTAGCTTTCGTGGTTCTCATGATTTTAGATAGCCATCCATTTCTTTTAGGTTTTCAAATTTAATAGTGTATAGGCTCTTAATGTATTCCCTTATAATGTTCTGGATCTTTTGGGTGTCTGTTGTGATGTTTCCCCTTTCTTCTCAGATTTTGTTGATTTGGATTTGCTCTTTCTTTCTTTTGGTTAACTGGGACAAGGGTCTGTCTATCTTGTTTAGCTTTTCAAAAAAGAAGCTCTTAGACTCATTGATTCTTTGTATCTTTTTCTTTGTTTCTATTTAATTAATTTATGCTCTGATTTTAATATTTCTTCTCATCTGCTGGGTTTTGGTTTCATTTGTTCTTGCCTTTCTAGAGTCTTGAGGTACAATGTGAAGGCATTTATTTGTACTCTTTCTGATTTTTTAATTAGGCACTTAGAGCTATAAACTTCCCTCTCAGGACTGCTTTTAAAGTGTCCTAGAGGTTTTGTTATGTTGTATTGTCCTTTTCGTTTAATTCCAGGAGTACTTTTATTTCATTTTTAATTTCTCCTTTAACCCACGTATCATTCAGGAGTGTGTTGTTCAACCTCCATGAATCCATGTAGTTACTAGTGCTCCTTCTGGTGTTAATTGTAAGCTGTATTGCATCATGGTCTGATGGAACGCATGGAATTATTTCAATTTTTTTGTATTTGTTGAGGCTTGTTTTGTGCTCCAGTATATGGTCAATTTTTGAGAAATTACCATGGAGTGCTGAATAGAAAGTGTATTCTTTGGTGTTTGGGTGGAATATTTGAAAGATGTCTGTTAGGTCCATTTGATGTATGATATCATTTAATTCAGATGTATGTTTATTTTTAGTCCAGTTGACCTAATGGAGGCAGTGGTGTATCAAAGTCCCCTATTATTGCTTTGATCAGAATAAAGTGACGCTCTTTATCTCTTCTGATTAGTTTTAGTTTGAAGTCTATTTTGTCAAATATTAAAATTGGAACCCCTCCTTGTTTATTAGTTCCATATGCTTGGAATATTCTTTTCCATCCTTTCACCTTAAGCTAGTGCCTGTCCTTGAAGGTGAGATGGGTTTCTTGCAGGCAACAGGAAGATAATTCAATTAGCTTGTGTCTTTTGACTGGGGAGCTCAGGCTATTGATATGTAAAGTTATTAATGAAAGATGTGCATTGATTTCTATCGTTTTGATTTCTGTTCACATTCTTGGTGTAGCTGTGTGTTTCCAGTTATACCTTCATTAAATTTCTTCACGTTACCCCTTGGGTATAGCTGTTGTTTTCTTCAGCTCTTTGTATTGCTTCAAGAACTCTCTGAAGGACTGGTTTGTGAACATGAATTTTTTTCAGCCTTTTTATGTCATGGAAGATTTTTCTTTCTCCTTTGACTGTAATAGACATTTTGGCTGGGTAGAGTAATCTGGGTCAGCATCTGTGGTCATTTAGAACTGGGGACACTTTGGTTCAGGCTCTTCTGGCTTTCATATTTTGCACTGAAAAGTCAGCTGTGATTCTGATGAGTTTTACTTTATATGTGACTTGTTTTTCTTTTTCAGCTTTCAGTATTCTCTCTTTGTTCTGTACATTTAGTGCTTTTACTGTGAATTTCCCTAGAGAGTTTTTTATTTTCTTTGTTCTTTCCATTCTGTTTGTTTATGTGCCTGTTTGTTAGTCTTTTTTATTTTTTATTTATTTATTTTTGAGACAGGGTCTCCCTGTAGTCCTAGCTGACCTGGAACTCACTATGTAGACCAGGCTGGCCTTGAACTCACAGAGATCCGCCTGCCTCTACCTCCCAAGTGCTGGGACTACAGGCATGTGCCACACCACACCCGGCTTGGTTGTTGTTTTATTCGGTATGTAAAGCCGATTGGTCTAGGCTTCAGGTTCTCTTTTGATTTTATATTGGAGGGACCAGATGTCCTCAGTCCAGGTATTCAGAAGCTTCCACACAGGCCCAAGTCAGGTGGCATTCAGGTCCTCCCAGGCTTCTGCCTAAGGTCTGGGCCCCTACTAGCAAGCAGTCACAGCACAATTTGGAAGCTCAAGCACGCTAGGGGGAGGCCTGATTTAGGGGCTCTCAGTCTGCAAAGGTATGGGCCCCCACTAAAGGGCAGAGAAGCCTATCCCTGGGGTGGTGGGATGGACTGCAGGTGGTTCCAATGTAGGGGGACATGCAGGGTACAATTTGGGAGGCTCATCACCATGTGGAGGCTGGATCCAGGCACTCTCAGACAGTCTGCAAGGGTTTTAGCCCCTACTTGTTTTCTAGGATTTATAACTGTCAGATTTATTTTATCATTGAAGCTTTACCTTAATCTTTACCTAACATTTTCTAGAACATTATCACATTATCACCCTTTAAAAAAATGGTCTTGAGCAGGCGTTGTGGCAATGCCTTTAATCCCAGCACTCAAGAGACAGAGGCAGGGGGATTTCTGTGAGCTTTTGAGGTCAGCCTGATTTTGCATAGCCGGTTCCAGGTTAGCTGGTGCTACAGGCGGAACCCTGTCTCAAAAAGCCATAAACAAAACAACTTTTTTTTCCGTCTTAGCCAAGAAGACAGCAGGCGAACTGCCATCTCAGTTGGTTGGCCTTGCCACAATCTTTTTGCCTCAGCCTCTTTAGTGATTAGAATCTCATCTCGTTTTGCCCCTGAGAACCAGAGCTATGGTCCTGCCAGGCCCTATGCTAGTCCCATCTATTGTCTTCCTAGCATCCTACACGCCTGGCTGGACCACAGCTCCTACTCAACATCCACCGAACCCACCAAACCTGTAGCCCGCCCCGAGCCGAGGCCGGTTAGGGGAGTCAGGTCCTCCAGCCAATCACAACCCAGAACGCTGAGAGGGCGGATCCCTTGACCAATCACAACCTGGAACACAGCGAGGCTCCTCTGACCGTCCACAGCTCGGAACTCAGCAAGTCTCTCTCCTGCAGGCGTCTCTGCGGAGCGGCGGGCGGGGCTTGGGAAAGATGGCGGCGCCCGTGGCTCCCGAGGAGCCCCAAACTTCCGGGGTTTCTCAGCTCCCTGTGTGTCTGCTGGTGTTGGGAATGGCGGGATCCGGGAAGACTACCTTTGTACAGGTGACGGGCCGGTCGCAGGAGTGGTAGCGGCGTGCGATCGGCTACTGGTGGCCAGGGAGAAAGGGAGGTGTCCGGGGAGTTGGAGGGTCTGGGCGCATGGTTTTCTGGGGACCGACCGCAGCTGTGGACCCTAGCTTGGGTCAGTTCAGGCAGCCTTTTGGACAACCTTGGTACGTGCTTGTTACAACTGACTACGTTGTACTGAAATTGTCATAACGAAGCTTTTTAAAGGCCTGGGCTTACAAGAGTGCGGGATATATTGCTAACACAGGGTTTGCATGAAGAGTTGTCAAGAAATTATTTCTTGCGCACCTACCACGTTCTGAGCACTGAGAACACAGCAAAATGAAGTGGGCAGGGTTCCTGCTTTCATGCAGTGAATGTTTTAGTGATGGAGATAGGGCAAAGTAGCGTTTAAATCGAGAGTTCAGGGTTGAGTACAGGCACAGCTGGTGGATATTTCAGAGAGAAGGAAAGAGTTCCCAATTTTATAGACATGTCAGTAAAGGAACAGAAGTTCTCTGGTCCCTTACTAGCTTTGTTCATCACCCTCCAACCCTCTTCCCCATGTTTTGCAGAGGCTCACAGGACACCTGCACAACAAAGGCTCTCCACCCTATGTGATCAACCTGGACCCAGCTGTGCACGAAGTCCCTTTTCCTGCCAATATTGGTGAGTAAACTTTCATAGAACTTGTGTGAAGTGGCTCACAGAAAAACGGAAGCCTGGTAGTCTTAAGTGTGGGTGTGAGCCATTGGAGACTGAGGCAGAATTGAGAGTTAAGGATCATCCTTGACCTACATATCTTGACCTTGTTTAAAAAAAAAGGTGGGGGGGGGGCTGGAGAGATAGCTTAATGGTTAAGAGCACTTGTTGCTCTTCCAGAGGTCCTGAGTTTGATTACCAGCACCTATCAAGTGGCTCAGCTCTCAGCAGCCTGTAACTCCAGCACTGCACTCAAGTGCACACAGACACACATATACACATAATTTAAAAATAAAATAAAATTTTGAAAAAGAAAAAAAAAAAACCCACAATAGACAGAAGGAGAGAGGGAGAAAAGGAGGGTCAGAGTAAGAATGAAAATGGATGTGATCCGGTGATAGGATTACTGTTAGGGTCCAGACTTCCTGACTGCCAGGCTGTAACTTTCCTTTGTGTGCCAGTCCTTTCCTACCTTATCACTTGCTAATCCTGTTAAGTTGCTTGTACCTCAAATACACAAATAAGAGGAAGAAAACCTTGTTTTAAGATTCAGAGATTTAGGGGCTGGAGAGATGGCTCATCAGTTAAGTGCACTGGCTGCTTTTGCAGAGGACCAGGGTTTGGTTCCCAGCACCCTCGTGGAGGCTAACAATCATCCATAACTCCAATTCCAGGGGATCTTTTATGTTCTCCATGAGTATTGCATGACAGGGATGTACTTATGTACATCAGGCAAAATACCCATATACATAAAATTTAGAAAAAAATTCTTAAAACTCAGAGATTACTTTGGGAAGATTTGGGGAGAACATTCCTAACCTAGAGGAGAAAATTGTAATATTATTCATCTACAGACTAGTGGAGAGGGTTTGATAGATTTTATTTAAAATTTTTTTTTTTTTTTTTTTTTGAGACAGGGGCTACTGTCCTAGAACTCACTATGTAGACCAGGCTGGTCCTGAACTCACAGACATCAGCCTGCCTCTGCCTCCCAAGTGTAGGGATTAAAGGTGTGTGCCACCACGCCAGGCAAGGATGGGGTATTTTTTCCCATCTCTGGGCCTTTTTTTTGAGACAGGGTCTTCCTGTAGACTCAGCTGGCCTGGAAACTCACAGAGATCCACCTGCCTCTGCCTCCAGTGTTGGGATTAAAGGTGTGTAATACCACGTCCAGCTGGTCTGATTTTAGTGAACAAATTTATTTTTCAAATGTCTGTGTTGCTCTTTTCACCATGTAGCAGTTAGTAAGACACTTTAAAAAAATTTAAAAAAATTTTTAACTGAATTTTTGTGTATTTCATATAGAATATCTTAATCATCTTTATATCCACTTCCTGATTGGACCCCTCTCATATCCCCCCACTTGAATTCATACATTCTGTCATTTGTGTTAAGGCTTACCATGTCAAGTTAGTAAAACACCTTTTCTGATTTAGGTGTGCTTGTACTTGCTCAGAGGCAAGTTGATCTCAAGGCCACACTGGTTTACCTTGTGAGTTCCAGGCCAGCCATGGCTACATAGTGAGACCTTATTTTTTTGATTTGAGCTTTAACAGTTTTTTTTCTGTGCATATGGCTGCTGTTAATCAAGTTTTATAAATTTTTAACCTTTCAGACTTTTTTTTCTAAAGCTGTATTTATTATCTGTATTTATTTTATGTGTATGAGCATTTTGCCTGCATGTATGTAAGTACCAGTGCCTACAGTGTCCACAGAAGCCAGAAGAGAGCATTGGATCCCTTGGATCTGCAGTTAAGGATAGTTGTTAGCCACTATGTGGGTGCTGGGAATTGAACCCCAGTCCTCCTCAAGAGCAGTCAGTACTCTTAACCCCTGAGCCATCTCTTTATCCCCAGACTATTTCTTTTATAACTTGAGAGCTCCTAGTTTCATTTTCTTCTTAAGATACTTAGCAGTGATCTTTTGTCAGGAAGGAAACCATTGTAAGTGTGGAGAAAGTCATAAGAAAATGCTGGCAAGAAGCTTAAGAAAGCCAGATGTAGTGACATTCCTATAACCCCAGCACTGAAGAGACTGAGGCAGGAGGATTGCCAAGGTTTTGAAGCCAGCCTGGGCTACATAGCCAGTTCAAGGCCAACCTGGACAATAGTGAGACTATGTCTCAAAATAAAAATAACTAAATAAATGCCAGGCGTGGTGGCACATGCCTTTAATCCCAGCACTCCAGAAGCAGAGGCAGGCAGATCTCTGTGAGTTCAAGCCTAGTCTCCATAGTGAATCCAGGCCAGCTATGGTGATAGGGAGACCCTGTTTCAAAAAGACCAAAAAAAAAAAAGCCCAAAGCCAAAAAAAAATACCCCAACCTAAATAAAAAGAACTGGTGATGGGGACTGGAGAGATGGCTTAGCGGTTAAGAGCATTGACTGTTCTTGTAGAGGACCTGGGTCCAGTTCCCAGCATCCACATGGCAGCTAACAGTCATCCATAACTCCAGTTCCAGGGGATCTGATGCTACCTTCTGATTTCTGTGGGCATTGCATGCACTACACGAGTGCACTTACATACATGCAGGCAAAACACACACTTTAAAAAGGGCTAGTGATGTATTTCAGTGGTAAAACATATACAAAGCCCTGGGTTCAGTCTCCAATAGACTAATAGCCTAGTTTTAGATTGTTACTAGAGGAAAAATGCCTAGGATATTGTTTTTTATTTGTTTGTTTGTTTGTTTTTAGGATAGGGTCTCACAATATAGTAGTGGCTAACCTGTAACTTAATACATAGATCAGGCTGGCCTTGAAATTGTAGTGATCCTTTGCCCCTGCCTCCCTAGAACTGAGAGTACCAGTATATACCACCATGCCCAGCAATGCTTAGGGTATCTTTTGGTCTTTTTCCTCATGTCCTTAATTTCTATCACATTTCAGTGATCTTAGGGTAATATAGCATAGTTGGGTATGGTGCTGTATGCCTATAATAGTCAGGAGGCTGAGTTAGGAGGATTTCAAGTTTGAAGACAGCGTGGGCTACACAG